GCGGTTTGTTTGCTACAACACCGCCCCCGATCTGACCGTAGAGCCACGGGAAGGAAAGAGCCCCACCCCTCCAGCACCCCTTTGCCATCGTCTGAAGCCGAGCTCCTCGTCACCCCGGGGCCCGGCCGCAGCCCACTGGCATGGGGAGGCCCCACTGATCCGGCAGGCGTCAGCCTGGCTCTTAATTAAATTCCCGGTAGCTGCAATCAGCAAGCACATTTGCAGAGGATGTCAGGACATCATTTAGGGCACATTTGAGTCCCCTCCGTCCCCCCTGCGTGTTCTGAGCCCACCTCACGGGTTTTGCCGTGCTTTTCTGCATCTGCGCGCTTTACGCCCACGGCCGCCGTTGCAGTTCAGACCGACGCAGCAAGGCGCGGCCGTGCTGCTGGGGACCAGTACGTGGTTTGGCAGGGTAACTGGTGGGCTACCGTGAGCCTAAGCCATAGGCAGGGGCCTCATAATCCCAAAATCTCGCTTAACAGCTTCAGTTTAGCTCTGCTAGTGGAGGCGGGGCGCTGCAGTTGGATGTCACGGGCCGTCTTCCGCTCCAAGTTGTGCTGACGTCATTATTCAGGTAGGTGTATGGACTTCCAGTTATTTACCCCAGCCAGATTTAGCAGCAGCAAATTACCTCGAACACCAACACAGATTCTGAGCACCCTGAGCAGAACCCTACGCCCAGGTGAAGCTCTGCCATTACGCCGCCTCGGGCGGTGCAAAGCCCGGCGATGCCCGCGGCCCCCAGCCAGCTGCAGCCTCCCCAGTGTCCCCAGCCGCTGCTGCTCGGAGGACGACGTTCCCTCCGCCCCTCTCCCTCTCAGCTGCCTCCATCCGCTCTGCGGTTCAAGATCTTTCAGAACCTTTCTGGCCCTGCATTAGGTGCCCCAGCATCTCGGCCCGGGAGCGCTGTTTGGGGAGAGGTTGCTATTTATAATGGCTTTTTCCAGGCGCTGCAGCGTACGTGCCGCGGTTATGCTTTCAGCTCCGCCGGAGTATTTCTGCTCTCCGCCGCTGTGTCAGGTTTTCCTCGCCACTAGGGAGTGTAAATGTGTCTTCACATGCATTTCTGAGAGACCCTGGAAACCTTGCCATAAATCAGCAGGAGGTAATGTCGCTCTTTAGTACTTTGCGGATAATGTCTTTTGGCATCGAGGTAACGAGAGAGAGGTTTCACTTCCAACTCCGCAGCCCTGGCCTGGTCCTGGGAGGGCTGAGCCCCCCCAGCCGTGCTGGGGGCC